ACCAAAAAAAAAAAAAAAGACACATGTAAAGGCTGCTAGCCACTGTGAAGAGTGTCCTGTCCCAGGACAAGGGCTGCACCAAGAGGCCTTTGAAGCTAAGACGTGGATAAGGCATTCCCTAAGGCACAGGGGTGTAAGGCTGTCTGCAGCCACAGCCTGACTGTTAGATTCTGCATGTGGGCATTGTGCCCACCTCTAGCATGTATCAGAGGTCACTTGTTCCTCTTCCAGCTAGAGTAGTACAGTGAACCTAGCTCACAAACATTGCTATAAATTCCTGAGTTGGGAATCCAGAGCTACCCGATGGGGAAGGATTATAAACACTACCAGGTCCACTCCTCGTGCAGTCTTCCAGGCACTCTCAGCCTCCTTTGAGGCTCAGTTCCTAGGTTGGAATGATGCCACTTGCTGGGCATATCTAAGTCTTCTCGTGTCTGAGCTCAGCATGCCTGTTTCCTAAATTCATTTCTGGATTCTTTCCTCTGAACAATTCCTGGCTGGTCTGGTTCATCCTAAAGGCTATGCTTAGATGTGGACATAGCACTGTAGTCTGGTAAGGAAGCATGGTGAGGCTACTTGCTAGCTTTATATTTGTTAAATGAATAATCCCAGAACTATGTTCTTGCCAGTTCCGAAAGACAATCTTACTCCTTTCTTCTTGAGTTTTCCACTGGCATATTGAGAACACAGCTATTTAAATGGGTGTCTGCTGCAGGCCAGACCCGGGTGCCTTCCATTCACCAGCTTGTGTGACACTCATGGTGATGCTAGAGCCCACTAGCTCCCTCTGGGCACTCGGTCAGTATTGACTGAGTAAACCTTGTATTGTACTGAGGTGACATCAGAGCTCAAAATACTAGTAGTCAAAAAGCCTGCAGTCTCTTCTGCTCCACATCCTTGCCCATCCAGGCTTGAAAGCAAGTCATCCTTGTTTTTCTTATTTTTTTCTAGTACTAGGGATTGAGTCTAGGGCCTTATATTTGAAAGCACCCTGCCACGAAGCCACATCTCTATGCCCATTTAATTTTTTATTTGAGCCAGGATCTTGCTTCTAATTTACAACCTTGCCTCCACCTCCTAAGTATCTGGAATCACAGGCATGCACCACCATGCCAGCTCACTCTTGTCTTTCTGCTGTATTTATCATAGGCCTTGGCTTCTGGGATTGGCTGGGTTTTTGAGCAAGTAGATCTCATCCTTAAATTTAACCAGGTCAATATTGTTTATCTACTTTGTATACTGGTCCTATGCATACAATTCATTTAAAAAGAAGGAAGTGGGGTCTTTGGCTACCCACTGGGGACCCCACCAGCCCCTCAGGAGGTTTCCTATCAATAAATATCTTCCTACTTTTTTTAAAAAAAAAAGGTTCTGGTCCAGGGATTTAGCTCAGTGGTCCCGCTGCCTGTGTTGCAGGCACAAGGTCCCAAGTCCAATCCCTGGTACCAAAAATAAATAAATAAATAAAAAGGTTCTGATGCTATAAAAAAAAATAATTTGGGAATCCACTGTATTGTGCACAAAGTTGGGTTTTTCTTGCATACTTTCACCGGCCTTAATGAAAATAGATAGGGGCCATAATGAAAATAGATATAGGCCACTTTCACCCCAATAAGGAGACCAGGTACCTGGGTACATTGATGCACGCCTATGACCCCATAACCCCAGCACTCTGAGAGGCTGAAGCAAGATCATAAGTTCAAGCCTAGCCTGGCCAACTTAGTGAGACCCTGTCTTTAAAAGAAAAAAAACCATTTTTTTAAAGGACCATGGCTGGGGATATAGCTGAGCACAAAAGCCCTGGGTTCAATCCCTAGAACCTGGGGGGGTGGGGCAGGTTAAATTCCAGTTTCCCAGTTCTGTCCCTGCAGGATGTGCTGTAGAGTGAATCTACCACCAATAGTGAGGCCTGTTTCCTGCCTTCTAGTCATATACTGAGGGTTCTTCTCGACCCTATGCACTATGAGACACCAGGTGTAAATGGGCACATGCAGCTGGCTGGTATAGATAGCCCTTTTCAACCTCATGGTCCTGCAGGTTATGTGGACTGCGTGAACTCAGTGCACTTGGCTTCTTGGTCATAGCCATCCCCTTGCCCAGGACCTGGGGGAGAGCATTTCAGAGCCCTTCACCCACGCACACCTCTCAGTGGGCCCCTCCTCCCACTGGCAACAGAGTCCAGTGTTTTCTGAAAAGCAGAAAATCATCTTGCTCTGAGTGTTCTCATGAGATTCAGCCACAGCCAAGTCCCTGTGTCACTTCTAGAGCCCTGACCAGTCCCAGTGGTAAGCAAAGGATATTTCTGTCACACCAGAATTATAATCTGCCCCCTCCATGGGAGCAAACACAGGGAAGAGCCTGGAGTGTGGAGGCCAGGCTTCCCAGGCACAGGGAGTGCCCCATTTACTGGGCACTACAGCACCAAGCAAAGACCTGGCGTCTCTAAGCACAGCAGTCCTGTGAAGGTTGGTACCCACTCGTTCACAAGGAGCTTCATAGCAAGGAGGCAGTGGTCAGGCCAGCAGCTACTCAGGTCTTTCCAAGCGAGTCTCCTTCTGGGGACTGTCATGTCTCTGGCACATCTTCCAGGTTCCAGTGTGTGTTGCCAGTGCTGCCACGGTGCCTCAGCCCAGAGACACCCCTGCCTTGTGTGCTGCTGACTATTGAGCTGCTCTCTCTCCTGGTGGACCACGAGATCCTGGCATCGCAGTTCTGTTCCCACTCTGGTAAATGAGGGCATGGTGGGCATCTGCCTGTGTCTCCCAAGGGAGGGAAGGAGGGAGTGGTGGGCAGGGCAGCTGGGTTAAATTCCTGAGGGGTTCTGGAGCTCTGAGCCCAGGCTCTGGGCAGGAAGGGGACCCTGAGTTCAGTGAGGGTTGTTCATTTCAGAAGGCTGTCTCCTCCTGCTGCTGTACATGTACATCACTTCAAGGCCTGACAAGGGGACCTCAGAGACACAGTGGCTTCAGCTGGAACAGGAGGTAACTGAGAGACCAGTCTGGAGACTTACTATCCCATCCCATCCTGAGAGCTCATGCTCACTTTACTCCTTTCTTTGACAAGTAGGGCTTTTTTTTTCTTTTAAATCTTTTGAGACAAGATCTCGACATGTAGCCCAGGCTGGCCTCGAACTCGCAGCAATCCTTCTGCCTCAGCCTCCTAAGTGCTGGGATTATAGGTGTGCACCACCATACCCAGTTGCTTTTTTTTTTTTTTTTTGGTACTGGGGATCAAACTGGGGACCTTGTGCTTTCGAGGCAGGCGGCGGAACCACTGAGCTAAATCCCTGGCCCTGCAATTCATTTTTTATAACAATTTTGTGAGGTTGAAGCAGAAGGATTACAAGTTTGGCTCAGCTTGGGCAATTTACCAAACTAATGAGACCCTCTCTAAAAAATGGAAAGGAGATATAGCTCAGTGTGAAGGCCTTGGGTTCAATTCCTGATACTGAAAAAAGTTTTCGAAGCAGCTACAAGTAAACTTTGGAGGCTCCCACACAGATTCAATACAGGTGAGCCCCAGATTGTCACAGAACTTGGCAGAGTTGCCTGATAACTGTTATCTCCTGACTCGGGCTGTTGCTGAAGCAGTGGAGCTCCTGTAGAAAAGCCCTGAGAAAGCCCTTGTGATGAACAGAATCTGTCCTTCCAGGCAGTGTGGCTGCTAGCCAAGCTGGGTGTGCAGAGCTCTTCCTCCCCAGTCACTGGCTCTGACTGCCAGTGCAACGTGGAGGTGAGTGGGGAAGGGCCCTGTGCAAGGAGCCTGCGTCCCACCCAAAACCCTACTCCTCTAGACGCTGTGAGGGCGCAGGAAACAGGGAGCCCTCAGTCTGTGCCCTCTCCCCAGGTGGTCAGAGCTCTCACGGTGATGTTGCACCGACAGTGGCTGACTGTGCGGAGGGCAGGGGGGCCCCCAAGGACTGAGTGGCAGAAGCGGACCATGCGCTGTCTGCGTGACACGGTGCTGCTGCTGCACAGCCTGTCCCAGAAAGACAAGCTCTTCACTGTGCACTGTGTGGAAGTCCTGCATCAGTATGACCAGGTGATGCCTGGGGTCAGCACACTGATTCGAGGGCTCCCTGATGTCATGGACTGTGAAGGTGAGCCCCCTGGAGGCCACTCCTGCCCCAGCCCCTAGGTGGTTGTCCCCAAAACTGCAGAGCAGGCCTACCTCCTCTTGTCCTTATAGCAGGCCTCCTACACCTCCTGCCACCACAGCCTTTTCCGCTACTGGGAGCTGTTTCTTCTCTGGCTGTTCTGAGTAGACTGAGCTGCCATGTATCTGTTGAGTTGGCCTGGCTGAGCCATGGTTTTTCCAAAAATACCCAGATCTGAATGGCCTTTGTGTCACTTTGCTGGTAGTAGCTGAGGGAGCAAGGCCAGGACATGGAGGGGACTGGTTGATTACTGCCAGGGCTGGGGGGAGAGGTGGGACCTGCCCAGACCCTGTGCTTTCCAGCTGTCAAACAAAACCCTCTTCCTTCTGGCCAGAGGCAGCCCTGGATGACCTCTGTGGCATGGAGACTGACGCGGATGATGCTGAGATGGACTGTGGCTGAGGCCCTTCACACCCAGCCACATGGTGGCACCAGCACCTTTGCTTTCCTCACCTCACCCACTGATTAAAAATAGGGACCAAGCCTTGTGGGACATGCCTGTAATCCCAGCACTTAGGAGACTGAGGCAGGAGGATTACCATGAGCTAGCTCAAGGCCAGCCGGAACTACAAAGCAAGACCTTGTCTCAAAAAAACTAAATGAATTAATAAACAAACAAATAAAATAAAAGCAATGACTAGCAGTGCCTGCTTGGAAATGCCAGCTTTGTTTCCAGGTCTCATCTGCTTGGCTTGGGAGGGATGGACCTGTAGGGGGATCCAGGGAGGCTGTACCCTCCCCCACCCCACCTCCTCCCTGGCTGGTCCCCATGGTAATTAATCTGCCTTCAGGGAAGCCCAGCCCTGCCTTTGGAATTGTCTTGACTCATGGCTTTGGGCTGGGGCCCTGGAAGAAACCACTGTGTGGCAGGGAGAGGCAGCCCTCAGCCCACACTTAAACCAGGAAAGTTGACCAAAGACTAGCCACAGAAGTATAGCTGGACCCCCAGAAATACTTGAGACCTGGAGCTCCTCCAGGACAACCCAGGCACTAGTTCTCTGTGGCTCTCACCAATGCCTAAGGGTTCCCTGGGAGGGAGAGGTGTTGACCAAGAGCAATAAACCAAGCCCACTGATGAGCAAGCTGGGCAGGCCTTGCTCACGAGGCCAGCCAGTGGGCGGGCCCAGGCCAAGTTTCACTTCCGGCACAGCTGCCAGCAGCAGCCGGGAGCATAGTGCACGCAAGCACTTGCTTGCCTGCCTGCCTGCCTTCCTGCGTGCCTGCCCACCGGCCCGCCTGTCTGCCGTGTAAGTACACACCAGTGAGGGTGGGGCAGGGGGAGGAAGACCGTGGCTTTCCCCCACTGGTGACCAGGTGGGCACTAGAAAGGCCAGACCCATGTGAAGAAGAGCACCCGCCCCACATGGACAGCAAAGTTTGGCCCACTAAGGAAACCACCCCACCCGTTCCAGCTTCCTGCCTTGAAAGTGGGCCCTGGAGCTCCTGACTGTGCAGAGGCCTGAGAGGTGCTTCTGCCCACTCCCCTGGTGCTACCCTCCCCCCTGCTGTTTCTGCCCACTGTAGTTCTTCCCACGTGAACCACCCCTAACCCGTGCTCCTCTCCAGGTTCAGCAGCACTTTCCTACCCCAGTATGGGCTCACAGGCCCTGCCTCCCGGTCCCATGCAGACCCTCATCTTCTTGGACCTGGAAGCCACCGGTCTGCCCTTCTCCCAGCCCAAGATCACGGAGCTGTGCCTACTGGCCGTTCACAGATGTGCCTTGGAGAACAGCTCCACCCCCGAAGAGCGACCACCCACAGCACCCCTGCCACCCCGTGTGGTAGACAAGCTCTCCTTGTGCGTGGCTCCAGGGAAGGCCTGTAACCCTGCAGCCAGCAAGATCACAGGTCTGAGCACAGCTGAACTCACAGCACATGGGCGGCTGCATTTTGACAACAACCTGGCCAACCTGCTCCTAGCCTTCCTCCAGCGCCAGCCACAGCCCTGGTGCCTCATAGCACACAACGGTGATCGTTATGACTTCCCCTTGCTCCAGGCAGAGCTGACTATGCTGGGACTTAGAGGTACTCTGGATGGTGCCTTCTGTGTGGACAGCATCTCGGCCCTGAAGACCCTGGAGCAAGACAGCAGTACCTCTGAGCATGCCTCGAGGAGGAGCTACAGCCTGGGCAGTATCTACACCCGCCTGTACGGGCAGGCCCCAGTGGACTCGCACACAGCCGAGGGGGACGTCCTTTCCCTGCTCAGCATCTGCCAGTGGAGACCACAGGCACTGCTGCAGTGGGTAGATGCTCATGCCAGACCCTTCAGCACCGTCAAACCCATGTATGGGGTCACAGCCCCTCCTGGGACCAACCCAAGGCCATCTGCTATCCCAGCCATGGCAACTCTGGCCACAGCCAGGAACAGCAGTCCCAGCCTCAAAAGGAATAGAAGAGCCAAGGCTCTTCCTCCAAGGGTCCCTGGGACCTCATCCCAGGAAGGGCTCCTGGCCCCTCTGGGGCTGCTGGCCTTCCTGACCTTGGCGATAGCCACGCTGTATGGACTATCCCTGGCCACACCTGGGAGGTAGACTGAGAGGGAAAATCTGACAAATAAATATCCCCTTAGCACTGAGTGGCAACCACCTCACACTCTCTTCGCTACTTTGCAGCCTGGGACCAGGGGGTAGGGGCAGGCATAGTCCTTTTCCTTTGCTATCCTAGCAAGGACTCCAAGCCCCAGTAAAAGTAGTCAAAACACAGAAATCCAAATGGTGGGTGGAACCAGGCATGGTGGTGCACACCTGCAATCCCAGCACTCAAGAGGCTGAGGCAGGGGGATCATCTTGAGTTCAAGGCCAGCCTGAACTACAAACCAAGACACTGTCTCAAATAAACAAAAAAGGCAAGTGGAAACAACACTGCCCAAGGCCCAATTCCAGCAGCCAAGGCTGTGAAGAAGGGGGGCAGCAACTCCAAATGTTTTGGTTTATTATAAACAAGGGTGCAGAGCCCAGAATCTCAGAAACACAACAGATACAAAGCTAAGACAGCTGGTAAGACATTAACAGTGATAGGGAACGCCGAGGTATTCAAGTTGGGGCCAGAAATGCCACCCAGGCCCCCCACCCCCTTGCCCACCACCCGCCTTGGTCCGGACAGCCCCTTGGCCCTGGTGTCCCTGCTGCCGGGACAACCTGTGACCTGGGTACTGGAGTTGGATATTCTACCAGGCTGCTGTTGGGGCAAGCAGGGACTACCCGAGGTCAGGTTGTCCCTCTGTTCTGTAGATCTATTCTCCACACATTTCAAAGCCTAACATCAGCTATCACATTTTAAAACAAAACAGGCCAAATGTTTGGCCAAAAGTAACACAGAAACACTGCAGGGAGGAGACCTGAGTGTGTTGGTGGACAGAGACCCCACTGCCCACCTGCAGCAGGGCCAGTTCAGCAAGGGCAGGAAAGCTTCGCCATGAGCTGCTAGAACTGGAGTGCACTGGCCACCCAGGCAGTCCCAGGCAGGCTGCAGGGACAGGGAGCTGTCGGGTGGGTGAGGCCGGCCTGAGTGTTCCCACCCCAGGAGCTGACCAACCCTCTACCAAGCATGGCACAGGGACCAACAGACATCTGCCCAGGGGACTGGGCCTTGGGAGAGCCTGCTGCTTTGCCACTTGCCTGCCTAGCGAAGGGCACCCCAGCTCCTGGGGACAAGCCATGGCCTCCAGCACTGGCTGGCCATTCCCACAACCAGGACATGTGAATGATGCCCCAAAAAGCTATGCTAACTTAGTGTGACAGGTGGTACCTAGACACCCTGGGGTGAGCTGGGGAAGACTGCCCACTCCGTTCTTCAAATTTGCTTGAGATTTCAGGAAGCATAATTTCAAGCAAAGAAAACAAAATTTGGTCCCAGCCCACCCGGTTGACATCAGAGGAAGCCACATGTCACATACAATGTACATAGAGTAGTAAAAACTGTGCCCACATACCTAACACACACACACACAATCAAGTGGCACCCACAGAGGTGGGGTACACTCAGGGGGCTGCTTTCGGGGGGTCCATGTAGGCCGGGTTGTACGGAGGCTGACTGGCAGCTGCACCTCCTGAAAGGAGAGAACATCGGTTGTCTGTGGGCATGGGGGGCTCCAATACAGATGTACCTGGCATAGATACCTGTGGGGCAGAGGAGGGAGTCGGGGCCAGGAAGGGTCACAGAGTGCACCTGGTACTCACCAGTCAAGGTCTCATGGTAGGCTGGAGGCCCCATGGGCTGGGCCGGGTAGGGTGGTGGGTACTGCGTCAGGTAGGGTGCTGCTGGCATTCCCGGCTGGGGAGGCATGGGGTGGTAGCCTTGGTACGTCGGTCCAGGGTAGCTAGGGGGTGCACTTGGAGGCTGAGGGTAAGGGGCGTGCACCACAGTGGTGGCCGTGGTGGTGGTCACGATGGCTGCAAAGAGAATCCCAGTCAAGGTGCGCCAGCTTCCCAGGTGTGAGCCCAGGTCTGCCTTCTATCCCTCTGGTGTAGCCCAAGCAAGGGCCTGGTCAGCTCCTCTTGCCCACCCAGGGATCTGTACCTGCACACAAAGGGAGTCACGGGGGCGCGGGGCGGGGGGGAGGGGGGCTTGCTTACGACGCGGCCGGCGGCACATCTTGTACAAACAGCAGCAGGAGCAGGTGAAGCAGATGATGATGGTGACGACAGACAGCACAAAGATGGTCAGGCCGATGGCTACAGTTGCTCCAAACCTGCCAAAGAGCTGGTCATGACCTGGCCCTCCCCAAGTCCACACCGTACCGAGTCCTAGGGGGCAGCCCATTTGCCCAAAGGGATTCTGGGCAACAAAGACACATCCTGATTATAACTTGATTATAACCTGTTTTGACCTCAGTTTCCTCACCTGTCAAATAGGTCATTTGGGAGTCTGCATAAAGCTCCTATGCATGGAGGGGGTTAAGCCACACCCCCAGATACCTGGCCCACCCCACCAGCCTCGAAGCACATGGGTGTCAGGCATATGTCACAAGCCAGGCACTGTGGAATCTGATTGAAAACACGGCAGTGAGAGCCCAGCCCAGTCCAGGAGCCCAGCCCAGTGTCAGGGGTGGATCTGGAAGATAGACTGAGGAAGCATGAGAACGAAAAGGGATAGAAGCCCTGGAGAGGAAGGCCAGAAGAGCAAGAAGAGTCTTGAGGTGCTGTCTTCCCCACCCAGTCCCCCACCCCACGCCCACCAACCAGTATGTCCACTTCCCAGGTCACAAGGTTAAGAGCAGATGGCAGGATACAGTGGGCTTGATAGAGGCAGAATGCTCTCTGGAAGTGTAAGCCTCCATGGAACAGTGGGCCTGATCTTGCCAAGAGCAGGCTCTAGGCAGGAAGTTCATCACAACTGACTTCCAAAGGCAGACATTCCTATCCTGCCCTGTTGCCAGGAGCCCCACTGTATTCTAATAAAAGACAAATGCTTGGTAACTGAAGGAGTTTTATCAGCTGCAAGCCACGGGCACCAGAGGCCAGAAAGGGTGTGGGTCCCACCCCACCCCACCCTGGGGCTTCCAGCTCCCTGCTCAGGGGGTCAGCAGGGCCCAGCCCTCAGCTAAGGGACAGACCTGAGAACAGGCCTTCATACTTGAAGCTCAAAAGTACCCACCCAAGCTCCCAGAAAGGGGCCATCACTACCATGTGCCCAAGGACAAGTCCCCATGACAGTTATAGGTGTCTGCCGGAAGAGAGGAGCGTGTGCACACACACATTCACAAGGCCAACATCAGCTCTGGAGCAAGCCCTGTGTCCCTCTCTACAGAATGACATCCAAGCTCACCCCATGTTAGCCTCTGCCTTCACCCAGGGGCCTCCCGCAGGCCTGGACTTCCCCTTTCCATCGAGCCAGTCAGTCTCAATCTCCTCCCCTTTCAGGGAAAAAGAAAGCGAATCTCCTCAGTCCTTCCCCTCCCTGACGTCAGCAACAGGAAGGAAAGGCACACACAGGCCTGCACCCACCCTCTTAAAGACACAGCCTGGCCCAGGCCCCAGGCCCGGTGGAGCAGCAGAGCCAGCAGCAGGAAGAGAGCCAGGACAGGAAGAGGGGAAGCAGGGCACTGGCTGCCTCCTGGCATGCCTGGCCTCTGACTGCGCCTCTGCTGCCCAGAGCAGCAGCTCCCTGGACTCTCTTCAGTGTGCCTGAGCCACACACTGGCTTACCTCCAGCTCCCCAAGTCCCAGCCCCAACTCCTCCCCCCCTACGGTACCCTCCCAGACAAGCACTTTCATCTGCCTAGGTCAGTGAGCAGCCCTGGGCCCAGCTGACACAGAAGTCATGTCTAGCCTGTCCCCAGTCTTCCTCTTTTCCCACCAGCGAGCTCCCCAAGGCACCACCTGGCCTCCTCAAGATGCAGCTGCCTCCACCAGCACCATCCTGCCAGGTCTGATCACGTCAGCCCCTGCTCAAATGCCTGCCTGCAAAGGCTTCTCTAGCTCTGGGGACCACATGGCAGTCTCCTTTATCATTATACAATGAACTGTGTTATTCTGTATACTATAGGCGCCAATTAAAGAAGAAAAATATCTCGGGTTTGTTTAACTAGAAAGTGAAACTTACAACAAAGCAAATTTCAATCTTTAATTAATAATTGAACTAAAACTTCTTAAAAAAAAAAGAAAGAAAGAAAGAAAACTTCTTACTAGGCTCACAAAGCCTGGGATGGTCCAAGACTCTCAGCTTCTCTCTGTGACCAAGCTACATCACCCGGCTTTCAGCTTTTGAAAGCACCAGGCTACGTCCACCTCAGGGCCTGTCCCAGTTGGGCCTCAGAATCTTCCTTGGGTCCCCCGGAAGCCCAGACTTCTGGGCCCTCGGATGTAGAGGGGGAAGGCAGAGGCCTCAGCTCCAGCCAGCCAGGCCCGATGTACTGGGGTGTGCAGGTGGGGGGCAGCTGCACTCACAGGAGCTCTTCCCGGATTCCACTGCAGCCAGGAAGGCCACAGGGTAGAATAGGGCAGGATAGGGCAGGCCGAGACCCCAAAGCCCCATCTGGTCTGGAGCCCATGTCTTCTTCCTCCCGAGGGGCAAACAGGCCCATGTGAGCTTCTCCTAAAAGTGGCTTCCAGCCACACAGGGCAGGCACCAGCAGCTGTGGAACAGATCCAGCCAGGAAAACAATGCAATTGTGGCTGCACACCCCCCTCTGCCCACACGAACATGGGCCACCACACCTGTCATGGTGCCAACAGGCAGGACAAAACCTAGCCTAACAGGGACTGGAGTTAAGGGGACAGGGCTGCTCCCTGGTGCCCTGAGATAAGCGTCCTCACACAAGAACTATGATCCACAAACTCTGAGGTATAACCACAGTGCTCTACTGTCCTGTGCCCACCATTATCACCTTGCTGCCACCACAGTCACCATACCCCATCACCATCTAAGTGCCACCTTGCCATCATCTTAATTGGCCTCCACTGTCCCATCACCATCCCGGCACACTGCAGTCCACCCGCCTGTCCTCCATCCCCTATCACTGCAATCGGTCACCTGTTGCCCACTCCTTCCCCTCTGTCAACGTGGACCCACGTGGGTTCCAGGATACTCAATTCTCAGCTTCCTGACAGGAGGGAGGTTCCAAAGGTCCTCAAAGTAAAACATGGGAACAGCTCCTCTGGACCCCACCCCGTCTCTGCCCCATTCCACCCCCACAGGGCTTGTCCGAGCCCACCTGAGGAAGACACACGCAGCCCATAGGTTTTATTTACCCTGACATGGGGTCGCTGTCAAAGCTGGACCGAAACCTCAGCGCCGAGCCAAGCTGCTCCCAAGGCTCTGTGGGGGTGGGGAAACTGCAAAGAGAAAAGCTCGTGAGGAACATGTCAAAAGCCCACCTGCACACAGGAGTGAACACACTACTGAGGGCACACACACAACACGTATCACAGCAACCGCGAACTGTGCAGCCAGTGGCCTCAAAGGATGAACCCCATACATATAAGGATCTCTGATGGCAACACCACAGGAGCTTCTCGGGTACACCAGGGGCAGATAGGGCACAAAATAAGCCTCTTTCCTTTCACAAAGTGGATACACAAAGTATCTCTGACCACAACAGGATGGGGTTAGAAACACAATAGCAGAAGACCACATTGCTACAACACTAATAACAAAAGCAAAAGCAGCAGCAGGAAAAAACAGAACCTCATCCCTTGCGATTTTGGTGGGGAGGGTGTTTGAGACCGGCTTGCTTTGTAGCGCAGGCTGGCCTTGAACTCATTATGCAGCCCAAGCAGGCCTCGAACTCCTGTCTCAGCCTCTCAAGTGCTAGTATTACAGGCATGCACCGCCATACCCAGTTTGAGAAAGTGAGTACAAACAGACATAAAGTTTTTTAAATTGAGTTATATTGCGTTAAGTAAACAATCACAAAGGAAATTAGCACACACATCAAACTGATGGTACAGGTCGAAAATCATGATGAAGCCAGGCATGGTGGCACACATCTGTAATCCCAGCAGTTTTGGAGGCTGAGGCAGGAGGATCACCAAGTTCAAGCCCAGCCTAGAGAATTTAGTGATTTAGTAAGACCACCCCAAAATAAAAGTAACAAAAGGCTGGGGAAGTAGCTCAGTGAGAAAGTCCTGGGTTCAATCCTCAGTACTGGGGAAAAAAAAATCAGTGTGAAGCTGACTTGGGCGTGGTAGCATATACCTAAGATTTTAGCTACTAGGGACGCTGAGCCAGGAAGATCAAAAGTTCAAGGCCAGCCTGGTCAAATTAGCAAGATATTGTCACTAACTTCTAAAAGGGCTGGGAATACAGCTCAGTGGTAGAGCACTCTGGTTTCAATTTCTAGCATTACAAAATAAAAAATAATAAAAAGGTGAAAACCAGGCATAATGGAGGATGCAGAAGGCTACATAATAAATTCAAAGACAGCCTAGACTACATAGCAAGACCCTGTCTCAAAAAATAAAAATAAAAAATCAGTGTTGGGCTCGGGATTTAGCTCAGTGGTTTTGCCGCCTGCTGCGCAAGCGCAAGGACCCAAGTTCGATCCCCAGTACCAAAATAAATAAATAAATAAATAAATAAATAAATAAATAAATATCAGTGTAGGGCCAGGGATGTAGCTCAGTGGCACCAAGCCTGCCTGGCAAGAGCAAGGTCCTGAGTTCAATTCCCAGAACCTGGAAAAAAAAAAAGTGTGAAGGCTTTAGAGGGCACTGACACAAGGGGGAAGCTGAGGCTCCAGGGCAGAGGCAGAGAGGCTAGGAACAAAGATCACAGAGATCAGCCTGGCAACCACGCTCCTTCTCCAAGGGGCATCAGCCAATTTCAGAAGGGCAGCAGGGAGGCTAAGGCAGCACTCTGGAAGCTTCAGGAGGCCTAGATTGGACCACTATTCATGTGGGCTGGGACCTGAAAAGCTGTACCTTGGGAAGAAAAGAAAAACTGAGCAGACCTAGCTTCTCATCATCCCAGTCTGTGCAATTAGGCCAAGATGAAGAAGCAACATAAGGGCTGGGGATTTAGCTCAGTGGCACTGAGCCTGCCTCGTAAGCACAAGGTCCTGAGTTCAATCCCCAGTACCAGAAGAAAAAAAAAAAAAAGGAACATAAACCTTCCCTAGAGAGCGTCCTGAGCTTCAGAGTTCCACAAGTGATTTGGAAAATACAATGTTAGGCACACAATCAAAACTTTCCAGGAACAATAAAGGATGAGGAAATATGAACAGAAAAGAACAGTAATAATTGACAATACAAACATCCACAGGAACTTTACATATTGAAGTTACTAGAAATTGATCATTCAAATACTAACTTGCATACTATTTAAAGAATAAACATTAAGATTAAAGATGAGCGTAAAGAGATTAAAGAAAAGAAAAGACTGTGAGCTGGGGATTTAGCTCAGTGGCACACCGTGCCTGCCTTGCAAAAGAAAGGTCCTGAGTTCAATCCCCAGTATCACAAAAAAAGAGACTGAGCCACTAAGCCAGGTGTTGCAGTGCACACCTATAATTTTAGCACTTGGGAGGCTGAAGCAGAAGGATCACTTCAAGTTTGAGGCCAGCCTGAGCTACATAGTTCAAGGCCCGCCTGGACTACATAGTGATACCCTGTCTCAAAAAACAAAACAAAACAAAACAGAAAAAAGACCTGAGAAATTCTGAGAAGCTGAAATGTACTGGATTTTTTTTTTTGGTACCGGGGATCAAACTCGGATCCTTTCGTTTACGCAGCAGGCAGCGAAACCACTGAGCTAAATCCCCGGCCCTGTACTGGATTTTTGGCTGAACAGATTTCTAAGCAGATGTTGAAGGAGAAGCTTGGTTCCTCTTGCCTGCTTATAGTAAAATGCAAGAAGAGAGAAATGAATTAGATGGAATTTTTGAACAAAAAGTAATTAGAACTTAAAGATTTGGGGTGAGGGAGAGCTCAGTAGTACAGCGCTTGACTAGGATGGTTGAGGCCCTGGATTTGATCACCAGTATGGGACAAAAAAGAAAATAAAAGAAAGATTTAGAAATGCTCAGCCTATCCATATTGCAGAGAATCACAAGCATGTAGTCCAAAAATCATTAGAATGAATTTAAAGCCGGGGATTTAGCTCAGTGGTTCCAGCACCTGCCTCACAAGCGCAAGGTCCTGAGTTCGATCCCTGGTACCAAAAAAAAAAAAAAAAAGAAAGCAAAAGAATAGAATGAATTTTTTTTTTTAAAAAAGAATAGAATGAATTTAAACCTAATCGGTCACCCTGGCAAAAAAAAAAAATTGCCAAGCTTGGACCTATGGGGACAGAGGAAGGAAATGAAGGAACACTGTCGGCCTTCTTAGATCACACAGGACCTGACCGTGAGCCATTCATTCAGCCGTGACCCTGGCTCCCAAGAGCTTTCTGTCCTCTTCCGGTACTATTCTCCTCCAGGACAAAGGAAGGAAGGGCCCCAAGCACAACTCATGCCATGGAAACTGCTGCCCTCTCTGCAGTTGTGGTCCATGAAGGTTGGGAGGCTGTCCCCACCGTGGTTCTGCAGACAGGAACCACGCCCCCTGCAGAGCTGTGGATGAAGCCCCCAGCCCCCAGCCCCACCGCCACTCAGGAAGGCAAAGGAGCCAGACAAGGATTATTCTCAACATTAAAGTCTAATCTGCTAAGTAGGTCTGGGTTTTGGTGGGGACCAGTGATTTCCTATCAATGTCTCCCTTTGGGAATGGGGAAGCTATCCTACACCTGTCCCACCATGGTCTGTTGGAAGTGTAGACAGGTGTCTCCAAACAAAAAATAAAATAGGGGCCTCCTTAAGTCTTCTAGCTAATCCAGACGAGGAGTTAAAATCAAACTTTACTAGAGAGATTCCTCTGGGAAGCAAGTCAAAGACAGGTAGAAGAAGAAAAAAAAAAAAAAAACCAAAGAAAGGTACCAAATGGCCTTGGGGCTTGCACAAAGAGATCAGAAAAAGAGCTGTCAGGCAGGACCCAGAGAGAAAGCCTGGTGCACAGACAATAAGCCACCCCCACCTCCAATAAAATACAGGCAAAGCAAGGGTGGAGAACTAACTTCAAGGCAGTGTGTACTCATACCTATGCACTAATATGTACACATATATATGTGTATTCACTCGAGTCACTGTTATTCACTCTAGGGTCATCATAAAGTATCCTTACTAACTCTAAGCTAACCATGAATAAGGTACCTGCTTGCCAATGAGCTGCTCATCCCAACGATAAGGCCTTAAAAGGTAGGTCAAGGACAAGTAGACAGAAAGAAGCTGTACACAGACCCTCCCCCAGAAGAAATGACATTAGGCAGAGGTGCCCGAAGCCAATCCAGTTACGGCAAGTGTGGTGGGAAAGTCAACTCATCCACAAAGAAACAGCTGGGAACAAAGGGCCCAAGGGCCCTCCATCTTTCCAGAGTCCCCTACCCTGATTCTTTCTTACCAAGGTAGCTATCTATCGTCTCCTTTCTCCCTCCTTTTCCTCTTTACAAATAAAGTGTCATCCTTTCATTAAACTTTGTCCCTCTAGGGCTGGGGATTTAGCTCAGTGGTTCCAGGCGCCTTCCTTGCAAGCACAAAGTCTCGAGTTAGATCCCAGGTACCAAAAAACAAACAAACAAACTTTGTCCCTCTAATCTATTATTGGGGCTGAATTCCGATCCTAGTGGGCTGCCTGGGTACGAGCAGCAGTGCTTGTCCCCCAGATGCAAGAAAACCACGTAATTTATCTCATTCCACAAGTGGGCCGGGGATTTAGCTCAGTGGTGCCACTGCCTTGCTCGCAAGCACAAGGTCCCGAGTTCGATCCCTGGTACCAAAAAAAAAAAATTGAAATCCTATCTCGTTCCACAAGTTTCCTAACTGGTGAAGAATTTTGCCTTTGGTAAATCCTACCTTGGGTCTCACCATACTTGATTTAGATGACACTACAGATGATAATTGATAAAGGATACATGAGACTTTTGAGGCTACTGAGATGAAACCAATGTATTTTGCACGTGAGACAAAAGAATACAAATGCGTGGGGGGCAAGATTGAAAATGCTATTTGCTGAATGTTTGTAATCCCCAAAATTCATATGTTAAAGCCCAACCCATGATGATTCTCAGAAGTAGGGCCTTTGAGAATTAAATAGGTTTAGATGAGGTCATGGGAGAGCCCTCATGATGACAGGCTCAATGCCCATATAAAAAGCTGTTTTGAAATATGTATACATTGCACAGTCCTAAATCAAATTAAGTAATACATTAATGGATTAATGAATTAAAGAAAAAATATTTATAATGTCAAATTCTGGAGAAGAGGTAACAGTCCCAGGAGGATGGCTGATAGGCATAAAAATGGAACAACCACCAGGCATGGTGGCACACGTCTGTACTTCCAGCACTTGGGAGGCTGAGGCAGGAGGATTACCCAAAGTTTGAGGCCAGTCTGAACTATATAGCAAGAACCTGTCTTAAAAAAAAATGGGGGAAAAAAATGGGGGACTGGGGATTTAGCTCAGTGGTTCTGCCACCTGCCTTGCAAGCTCAAGGACCCGAGTTCAATCCCCAGTACCAAAAAAAAGGTACAACTATACTGGAAAGCCATTTAGAAGCATCTGTCAAAGCTGAACACGTATACTTAATGACTTAGCAATTCTAGATATATAACCAAAGAAATATGTTCCTTTCACAAGGCATCAAAAACTTATAAAGAAGGGACTGGGGATTTAGCTCAGTGGTGACGCGCCTGCCTCGAAAGTGCAAGGTCCTGAGTTCGATCCCCAGTACCGAAAAAAAAAAAGTTATAAAGAAAAAAACCCCAGCCAGGCATATGCTTATAATGCCAGCTACTCAGGAAGTGAGGCAGGAGGACTGCAAATTCAAGACCAAACTGAGCAACACAGTAGGACTCTGCCTTAAAAAAATAATACAGCTGGATGTGATGGTGCACACCTGTAATCCCTGCACTCTGGGTAACTGAGGGAGGAGGATTGCAAGTTTGCGCCCAGCCTAAGTAATTCAGTATGAGCCTATCTCAAAATAAAAAAATAGCCAGGGATTTAGCTCAGTGGTGCCACCGCCTGCCTTGCCAAGCGCAAGGTACCAAGTTCGATCCCCAGTACCAAAAAAACAATCAAAATTTAAAAATAACAAAGGGTTAAGATGTAGTTCTGTGTGAAGGCCTTGGGTTCAGTCCCTAGTACCACAAGAAAAAAAGAAAGGGAGAAAGGATGGGAAAGGTGGGGAGAGGAAAAATAATAACACTTTTTCTTAAAGAGCCGGGAACGTAGGGTTGGGGATGTAGCTCAGTGACACCATGCCTACCTGGCAAGCGCAAGGTCCTGAGTTCAATCCATGTTACACAAAAAAAAAAAAAAAGAAAAAGGAGAGCTGGGAATGTAGCTCAGTGCTCCCAGGGTTCAACCCCCATACTGAAAAGAAGGGGAAAGACTGGGGAGAGGAAATTTAGGGGCTAGTGATGAGCTCCATGGTAGAGTGCTTGTCTAGCATGCACAAGACCCTGGGTTTGGGGGGAGGGTGTTTATTTGTTTTGGTTTTTTAAAACAGGGTCTTGATATGTAGGTTCAGGCTGGCCTTGAACTCACAGTGATCTTCCTGCCTTAGTCTCCCGAGTGCTGGGATTACAAGGCATGTGCCACCACGCCTGGTTTAAAGCCCTGGGTTTGATTCTCAGCATTGCAAAAAAAAAAAGGTCTCAGCACTCAAGAGGCTGAGGCAGGAGGATCACTGCAAGTTTGAAGCTAACTGGATCGGGGATTTAGCTCAGTGGTTCCACGGCCTGCCTCACAAGTGCAAGGTCCTGAGTTCGATCCCTAGTACCAAAAAAAAAAGTTTGAAGCTAATCTGAGCTACACAATGAGTTCAAAGCCAGCCTGGACTACATAGTAAGACTTTGTCTCAAAGAAAAAACAAAAGAGAGAGGAAGTGGGAGAAAGAAGTACATTTATTACGGTGTCTGGATACAACATCAATTTGTAAAAATTAATTATAAACAAACAGAAATAAAAATGTTAAACTTTACCTATTTATAGTACCATCAAAGAAATCAAATACCTAGGACAAAATTCAATGAAACCTATACAAAGGTGACCCTGAAAACTATAACACATAATTGAGAGAAAATGAAAAAATCTAAATACATAGGTAGATATGCCATGTTGACGGGTCAGAAAACACAATATAGTCAAATGTCAATTCTACAAAAACTGTCTATTGAGTCAATACAATCACAGCTGGTTTTATTGATGAGCTGATTCTTTTTCTTTTTTCACTGTATGGTTCTGGGGAGGAACCCAAGGCCTCTGCACTAAGCAACATCCCTAGCTAGCCCTTTTCATTGCAAGACAGGGTCTCCTTAATTCACTAAGTTGCCCGGGCTGGGTTCAAACTTTCCACCTTCCTGCCTCAGCCTCCCAATAGCTGAACTGCAGGCATGCACTCCTGCGCCTAGCTTGATGAGCTAATTCTAAAATTTGTATGAAGATACAAAAGGCCAAAAATCACCAAGACACTCCTGAAGAACAGTAAGTCTTATTACAAATCTACAGTATTTATGAGTCTGCTGTAAGTCCAGAGCTAGACAAATAGACCAATGTAACAGAACAGAGCCCAGAGGCACATCCACTGCATATGTGCACCATCGACTGATAACAAAGTTCACACTGAAGAATAACAGTTTTCTTGCACACACTTGTAATTTGTAATCCCAACATTAGGGAGGCTGAGGATCACCGAAAGCTGGAAGCCAGCCTGGGCTACATAAGGAGTTCAAGATAGCTAGACCCTGTCTCAAAAAAACAAGACAAAAAGAAAAAGTTTTGGGTTGGGAATTTAGCTCAGTGGCACTGCACCTGCCTCAAAAGCGCACAAGGTCTTGAGTTCCATCCCAGGTACCAAAAAAAAAGAAAAAAGAAAAAGTTTTCTCACTCTATGCAATGATCCTGAGTCAACTGGATGTCCGTATATAGAAGTGGTGCTGGGCATGGCTGAGACAGGAAGGTCACAAGTTCCAGACCAGCCTGGGCAGCTCACCAACTTATCAAGACCCTGTCTCAAAATAGAAAGAACACCCCTTAAGCAGGGCAGACTGGCTGCCTATGGGCTTGAAAGGGAATGGAATGGTTATGGGAGACTGAAGTAAGTATATGAAGTAAGCCATGAGCTGAGGAGTGTGACCACCTCAACTCTCTGTATCTGTGACTAAACAGAGAAAACACAGAATATGACAAAGGGAGACAGTTCTTGTCCTGGCCCATAACCTGTGTATACCTGAGGTGCAGGGTAAATGCATGGGCTGAGTCAGGAGGACAGAGCGCACCTAATTATGAGCACACACCTGTGCCCTGTGCACAAACATCCAGGTGCGTGCACACACTGTGAGGTACCTTCATGTGCGGCTGCCCACCGAAAGGACGTGTTGGTAAGGATACACAAGCAGGAAGAGCCTTGGGCCAAGCAGCTTTCTCTGGTCTAGTGTTCAACTATCATCTAGAGAGTGCTGAGAGGATGAAGGGCACTCTCCTCCTGGGTACAGGCCACCCCCGGGAACCCACTGAACCCACTGGTGCACCCACCTGGCCTCGGGCACAGCACACTCATCCTCGGTCCACACAAGTCTCTTCAGCACATCAGAGCAGCAGTATTGGTTGGAACAGGAGCCACAGCAGAAATCAGGACAGAGCTTGGGGAACGAGTTGCCTCCAAGGGCAGTTGTGCACTCCTCACCACGGGCTGCAGTGAAGAAGCACACCTGTTTCCCTGTGCCCACAGTGCCATGCCCAGCCAACACTGCATTCCTGGTGCAGTCACCAAGCAAAGCATGCTCTAGGCCAGCCTCTCACTGCCCACCACTCCCCTGGGCCACAGCAGAGCTGCCTGTACCAGGATCCTTGCTCCCCTGCCAGTGCACTGGCCTTTGAAGGGACAGTGATCTTTCTCAGTGTGAGCCTGACTGGGCCCTCCCCACCTGCAGACCCGTACCATTCCCAGGTTCCACTGTTCCAGGAACAAGCCAAGTCCCCAAGCAGGGCACTGACTCCAAAGAGCCTTAAAGAACACTCCAACTTTCCAGCCTACCCACATTCTGCCCATTTTAGCCTCCTTCCCACCCCCCACCTTCAAGTCTATTCACCCTTCAAGCCTCACTCCAGGCCTTCTCTTGCAGAAGCTGCAAGAGCTCCACAGGCATTTGGCTGAAAGATAGCATATCTGATCACCTGCAGGGGACCAGGCATCAGACCTTCAAGTTTCATCCTCACTCCCTGTGCCCATCATTCAGCCACAGCAGCCTCACCTACTGGATCTCATAACTGCAGTGGCCTGCCCCTCATAGATCATCCCCTGCCAGCAGGCCGATTCCTGACCAATCCAGGCGGCCACAGTAACGCCTAACACTCAAGTATCCAAAACTTAGTCCTGGGCTGAACCTTGCAGCAAATGACCCGGAAATGTCTGTGCTTTTTGTGGGACCATCATAGGGCTCTCAGCCACAGAGGTGAGATCTAGTGACATCCTCGTTAAGTCTCCTCTTCCTTCGGAGAGTACGGGGCTGGCAAGTGTGAGAACAGCCCAGGGCTCTGGGTAACCACAAGGTCTGCAAATCTCCAAGAAGATGCTACAGCCAAATGCTCCCATATATCCTTAGGCTGCATTAGCAGAGTCCTGGAGCCCACAAGCAGGAGAGGACCAGATTCTGCCAAGCAGAGGCACCCAGTCCAGCAAGGCCCATGTGACTGAGTAAGCTGAGGACAGGCCTGAGGCCATTCCTATGACCCCAGAGCCCCAGGCTGCCAGGTCCTAGGGCAGTGTGCATCATCTGGGCAGTACGACATGCGCCCTGGGACTGTCAGAGGATCAAGGCCCAAAGACTGACACATGAGACACACTCCTTCACAAAAGATAAAGATAAAGGGAGCAGCAGGGTGCAGCACTCTGTTCTTGGCAGCTCCAGGCAAAAGTCTGCTCTAGTGAGCAGGGTGTAGTGGTGAATGCCTGTAATCACTGCACTGGGAAGGCTGAGGCAGGAGGATTGGTGCAAGTTCAAGGTCAGCCTGGGCTACACAGTGAGTTCAAGGCCACCCTGGACTACACAGCAAGATCCTGTCTCAAAAAAAGTCTGTTCTGGCGAAGCTTGGCATGTGCAAGCCCAGCTCAGCCCACTGACCACAGGAAAGCAACCATTCCTCGCATGGGCCCCGCTGTGGCAGCGGAGAGAAGCCCTGACCTGGGCCTTCACAGCGCAGCCAAAGGCCAAGCAGCAGACAGACACACACCGGGAGCAGGGACTGCTCTCCCTCACAGGAGTCAGCTGATCCTGGACGCACGGCTCCCTCTTCTCATTTCCCCATCTCAGGTCCTCGGAAAACAAAGACCTTCCCCTCAGGAAACCATTCACCCCGAAGGGGCCCTGGCCCCTCAGGGATGGGCCAGGACCATTCCAGTCCCAACCCCTAAGAGGCCCCCTCGGCCGCCCCCCAACGGCTGCCCGAGCGCTTCCCTGCCTACACTCGCTCATGCGGTGGGTGCGTCCCCAACCGGGCAGGTGGGTTCCCACATCCTCAGGAACCCGGGGCAAAGAGGGACCCCGCCGGAAGCAGGGCTGCGGGGCCGCCCTCGGCAGGAGGGTCGGCGCGGGGCGAGGGGACCCTGCCCAGCCCCCGACGGCAAGACGGGCTGACCTCCCAGGGCGCACAACAGGGGCGCCACCCAGGCTGGGCAGGGTCAGCGAGGCGCAGCGACAGGGTCGCGGCCGTCTGGGGCGCTGTCGCCGGGCTGAGCGTCTCCCCCCACCCCACCCCACCCGGACCTCCCCAGCTCACCCCCCGGAGGCGGAGGCAGGAGCAGCAGCAGCAGCAGCCAGAAAGTCCGGGGCGCAAGGGCCAGCGCGGCCATGCCAGGGGCGACGGGAGACTGCGCACCGACGGGAGGACCGAGGGCGCCGGGTCTCAGGCTGCCAGAGCTCCTGCCTGGCCCCGCCCCGCGTTCCCGGAACCCCCGCCCGGCGGGAGGAGGGGAGCAGCCGTCTGCGTCCTTGCCCTGCACTCGGCGGCCCTGGGAGGGAGGCGAGGCAGGCCCTGGCCGGAACTCGGCCCCCGGTGGGCCCCGGGTGAACCCAGCTCCTCTGGAAAGCTTCCCAGGACCCCAGCTCCCAGCACAGCTGCCCCAGCGCTCGCCCCACCAGGTCCGGTGAGTCCTCTGCGATCTAGCCCCTGCCCAGGCTTGCTCAGGACCCCACAGGGACTGGGGAGCTAGTGGCCCCAGGAGTCTGTGCAGGCCACATCCTGGCACAGGGCCGCCTGCCTGGGAAGGGGGCTGGGCATTGTGCCCAGGGAGAAGGTGACTGCCTGAGATCCCAACACTCTGGAAGGCTGAGGCAGGATTGCAAGTCCAGCACAGCCTGGCCAATTTAGAAATTTCCTAAGACCTTATCTCAAAAATAAAAGGGCCAGATATGTAGCTCAGTGTGAAGACCCTGAGTTTAATCCTCTCCACCCCCTACCCCATAGGTGGAAGGCTTGGATCTCCAACAAGCATCCACCACCACCTGACTGAGAAGAATTGAAGAGACAGGTGCTCAACGAAAACACAGGAGGCAGAAATAGCACTATCCCAGGCACGATGCACACCTCCACCCCACCTGTCCCATGCTAAGAATTGAACCCAGGGCCTTAGCACTGAACTACATCCTCAGTCCTTTCTAGGGTCTTGCTCAATCATTAAATTGCACTCCAACTTGAGATCCTCCTGCCTCAGCCTCCCAGAGTGCTGGGCTTATAAGCATGTGCCACCACACCCAGGTTCCAGCCAGGATGCTTATGAGGGACCTGAGCCACATCCTCCCTGACAGCCTCACCCCACCTCTGCCTTCTGAATCTGCTCTCCAAAACTAGATAAAGCCCAAGTGCTCCTTTCCCTGGAGACGGCCACCACTTGCACCCCTCCACATACAGCACAATCCCTCTAGCATCCTACAGAATGTTCTCCAGAGTTTGCTTCTGCCTTCCCAGGGACTGCTTGTACCATTCTCTACCATCCACAGACTGGTTTCTTATCACTTGGTTTTCCTGCTGAGCTCCTAAGAGTGGTTCATTCTCACTTCCTATCACCACTCTAGGCCGTGGCTCCATCCCCGGATCCTCTAGGTGCCTCTCACCTTGTATTAGTCAGTGTTTACTAGAGAAACAAATACAACACAAGATATACAAATATATAAGACTTAACAAGATTGGCTTACAATGGCCACCTACAAAGTCAGATGTGGAAGAGTGAAGTGTCTGTCTTCGTGCTAGAGACCGAAGGATTCAGCTGAAGGTCTGGAGCTCACTGTAGTGTCCCATGCAAGTCCATATCAGGAGGCCTATAGGTCTGTGATGAAAGGCTGAAGCATCTGTGCCAGAAGCTGAAGACTGCTGGAAGCCAAGGTGAAGGTGAAGACTGGAGCTCCCCTGAAAAAACAGAAGCAGATCCGTTCTTCATCATTTTCCCTTTACATTGTCCAGGTGACAAGCCATCCTAGGGTGTGGAATTGCTGAGCCAATTTAGTTAAGCTTCTCTTACTCAAGTTGACTCAATCAACCATCACACACCTGTTCTCACCCCCTTGACTTTTCTAGTATTGGGCTCCCCCACCCCTTATCTGCCCACAGCTCACACATAGCCCATGAGAGACCTTCATATTTAAGCATGATGGGGCTCCAGTTCCCAGCCAAGGCTGTGCATGAGCAGAACAAGGTGATAACCAGTAACTCCCCAGAGGCTTGGACATTTCAACTCTGGATCTCATGATCATGTGCCATGTGTGAGCATTATGATGTAGGCCAAACCTGCAAAGCCTGAAACAGTCATATCCATGAGCTGTCTAAGGAAAGCAGCCCCTCCCATGCAGAAAGCAAACTCACTTTGCCAAATGTAGGGGTCTCAACAAGGTAGAAGGGACCCAGATCTGTCCAAGAACACATAATGTGAGGGCCCAGACCAGCTGGAATAGCTCACCAAACAAGAAAAGAAAAACCACAGGTCACAGATGCAGGATGGATGGTGGTGGTAGAAGGTTGAGGGCTGGGTAGGGTCCCACCAGGTTCCAGTAACTCTGCCTTGCCCTTGCAGGCCAAGGAACTGACAGGGCTCTCTCTGTTGCTAGGACTGGGTGCTGCACCAGGCCTAGGTTGCTTACAATTCTGCCTACAGTCTTGGAAATAGCAGTTTTAGTAAATTCTCCTCAAATTCTCCAAGCTTGATAAGAACAGCTGTTTGCTTCTGGGATCTTGAGTTCTGTTTGTAGATGGGAACCCTGCATGGGACTGGCAGGGCAAAGCAATACCCAGTGGTGCTGAGAAAACCCAAAGTCCCACACGGTGGGGGTGAATGGGTGTGGATTTGGCCCAGCACCCCAGGACTGGCCCCTGGTATCCTGGACAAGTGTTACCATGTGTACACAAACATCCAGGAATGAAGTTGCAAACCAGAGGAGGAGGAGGCTAAGGGAGCTTTATTGGAAATAAGGAGATGGAAAAGAGCTCCTGGATTTCCAAGTGGGGTCCTGAGTGGGTGGCCTCATGGCTCTCAATTCAGAGCCAATTATAGAAAGCGGAGCATAGAAATTGCTCGACTGCATAGTGGCCTCCAATCACAGATGGCTCTGTGGTTTTAAAATGACCAATTGGAACTCAGGCTTCTAACCCAGTTCTTCAAAATGTAGGGTTTACAGGAAGCTGGGATTTTATTTATTTATTTATTTATTTATTTATTTATATTTTATTTTTGGTACCGGGGTTGAACTTGGGTCCTTGCACTTTCAAGGCAGGTGGCGGAACCACTGAGCTAAATCCCGGGCCCTGAAGCTGAGCTCTTAGAGAAAAAAAATGGTTATTTTGGATTTTAAATTTCTCAAAAATCTGGAGCTTAGTGGGGAGTGTACCTCCCTTTAGTAGGAACAGATCTGTATCCCATGTTGCCTAAGGAAGTTCCTCCTTGGTCGAAAGTCCTACCTAGCTCACTGTGTTTTCTTTTTTCTTTTCTTTTCTTCTTTTTTTTTGAAACAAGGTCTCACTATGCAAGTCAGGCTGGCTTTAAACTCACTATGTAGTCTAGGCTGCCCTCCAGCTCTCAGTGATCCTGCCGCTCAGCCTCAGCCTCCCAAATGCTAGGATTACAGACGCGCAGCACCACACTGGGCCTGTCTATTCTTATTTTAATGCTTATCAGTGTGGCTGATCACTCAACTCTGTTTCAGGCCCTTCCCCTAAGTAGCTGCCTTATTTATACACTAATGATTCCTTTCATAGTTGTTTTTTGGTGTTTTTTTTTTTTTGGTACCAGGGATCGACCTCAGGACCTTGCGATTGCAAGGCAGGCAACAGCGTCACTGAGCTAAATCCCCAGCCCTTTATAAGCTAATGAAATAAACTATTTTCTACACGTGGGCCTTTGCCATTCCTCACCAGTATCTGGGCTCTTTTTCCTCATCTGGGACAGAGGACGTACCAAACACTTTCCCAGCTTCCTGTGCCCAGGGAAAGGGCTTTTGCCCTAGGTCTAGCCAATTGGATGTTCTGCAGTTTGTTGGGTGACCAGCACTGCTATTATAGACAGCTGAGTTAGTTAAAATACTGTAGGCAGTCAGACAGGGCTGGGCCTCCAAGAGAGTCAAAGCAGAAGATAAGAACATATTAAACTGTGCTAGAGACACATTTAGTTGAAGGCCAGGCTTCAAAACAAAGAAAAATGACTACTCCCGCATACTTCCCCTAGGGATGAACAGCAGTGATTCATATTCTAAGTAGGCATCAGTCACCTTGAGTGGGGAACCAAAACTTCCCTAACCCATTCCTTCCCAGAAAATCCTTGTTTATTCCATGTACGCTTGCTACCTGGCTTGCTTCCCATTTGGTTCCCCATTTAATCAATATTACCTAAGTGACTATACTAGTAATCTTATTAGTTGACCATAGTTTTGTCCCACCTCATACCTACCTTGTGATTTTCCATTGGATCAATATTACCTGAGTGACCATACTTATAATCCTATTGGTTGACTGTAGCTTTGTCCCACCCTGTACCCACCCCCCCACCTTGTGGCTTTGCTCTATAAATCTCCATTGTTCCTAGAATTCATTCTTTGATTATAGAGGACACAAACTAGGTGATGTGGACATCTCCCAGGTTGAGAGTTATAATATTTCCCTTATATTATTTGGAGGGCCTTATAGCATCCCTGTATCATACGCCCTATATCACTAGGGCAATAGAGACTCTGCTTTGGTGGTGTCTCCAAAGTCCTAGGCAAGGTTGGGGTCCCAAGAGCCCAGATTCAGTTATTAGTCTCCTTGAAAGTCCAATCAGAGAAAAGTAGCAGTGAAGCAGCAAAGCAATAGGCTCAGTATGGCTGAGGTAGTGATATAGGAGAAATATAATTCTCAACCTGCTAGAAGTCAGATTATTATAGACAGATGAATTAGGCAGAAATATTATAGGCAGTCAGATAGGGCTAGGTCCTCAGGAGAGTCCAGACAAAGGTGAAACACACCACAGCTGCCATCGGAAACACCGTTGTTGGAGACCGAACCTCAAGATAAAGACAAGATGACCAGACCTCCATACTTCCTCAAAGAATAAACACTGGGCCTAAGAGGTCTAAATAGATAGACATCAGCCACCCTGGTAGGTAACCAGAGACCTCTGGACCCATTTCCTAGGAGAATCTTTGTTCTTTCCATCCACGCTTGTTTCGTGACTTGTTTCCCGATTGGACCACTATTAGCTAAGTCACTATATTTGTAACCTTATCGGATGATCGTGGCTGTGGCCCACATTGTACCCATGTGGGTTTCACTCTACAAAATTCCCCTGTAGAGTGGAGTCCCCAGATACCCACTCGGGTCCCCTTTTGCCTCTCAGGAGCTCTCCTATCAATAAATACCTTCCTACTTTTAACCTTTGTTATTCCTAGAATTCATTCTTAGAGTTTTAGAAAACACAACCTTGGCATATCAGACAGCTAACAGGTTGAGAGATATAATATTTCATATTTCTTTTTTGGGGGGAGTACCAGGGATTAAACTCAGGACCTTGCACTTTCGAGGCAGGCGAGGCACCACTGAGCTAAATCCCCAGCCCTTATAATATTTTATATTTCATCTCTGATATTAGTTCCTATATGAAGATGTGCTGAGTTCATGTGATCCCAGTGCTTGGGAGGCTGAGGCAGGAGGATTGCCCCAAGTTCAAGGCCAGCCTGGGCTACATAGTGAGTTCAAGGCCACCCTGACTATATAATGAGACCCTATCTCAAAAAACAAAACAAAATAAAATATTCAATTTTGTTTTAAAAAAAAAGTGATTAAGTTTCTTACTTCAGCCTTGGAAACCCTCAGATCCAACCAGGTTACATAGCCAAACTAGGAAGGAAGAAGGGGAAAGCCCTGTCACTGGGGGACTGACAAGAACTATAGGTGTCTAGGGCCAGGGATTAGCTCAGTGGCATAGCGCCTGCCTAGCAAGTGTGAGGTCCTGAGTTCGATCCTTGGTACCAAAAAAAAAAAGAACTATAGGTGTCTATAGAAGAAGAATTAGTATAGTTAGAAACAGGGGGCCGGGGATTTAGCTCAGTGGTTTTGCCATCTGCCTTGCAAGCAAAAGGGCTTGAGTTCGATCCCCAGTACAAAAACAAAAAAACAAAAAAATAGAAACAGAGGAGCTGAAAGTCACTCACTTCCCTCCATTTAACTGTAAACAGCACCCTACAGTTATCCCTGCTTCTGTTATACTAAGAGAAGTAGAAAATAAAATAACAAAAGCAGAGCACTGATGGCACCAAGAGAGTTTCAGTGGGAGGCACCTAAAGCCTAAGGACACTGAGGTATCTGGCCTTGAATTCTGAAAGACCTGAGTTATCAGCCCTCTTTTCTCTTTTCTCTTTTTCTTGTTGCTGCTGTCACCTTTCCTGTGATCTTCAATAAACGTAGCTACTTGTTACTTACTACTTGGTGTATACTCAGCGATTCTTTCCTCCTCATACACAAGAAGCTGGATTATTATTGACCCATTCAACTGTAACAGAATGAGGACAGGGCAAGAAATATGGGGCAAGAAGTATGTGTAGTGCTGGGCAGGGTGGCACACTGAGGATTGACAAGTTCAAGGCCAGCCTGGACAACATAGAGTTTAAGGCCAGCTGAGAATATACAGCAAGGCACCCTCCAAACCCCTTCCGCCACCAAAAAAAAAGTATGAGTAGTTAGGCAGTCTTGCTCAAACTGTGGTCTGGTTGATCATTGTCTCAGGTTTGGTCCTGCAGGGCCCTGCTGGCTCCACAAATATTGCTCAAGGGGATGATTTGTTTTCTGTCCTGAGGTGACCTAACTGCAAAGCTCCTGTCCCTGAAACTTGAGATGAGTTGAGGAGAAATGACTCAAAAAGAACAGGCCAGATGAGGAAAATGAAGTCATTCAGGTAATAATGGAGTCCCTTCCTTCCTTCCTTCCTTCCTTCCTTCCTTCCTTCCTTCCTTCCTTCCTTCCTTCCTCCCTCCCTCCCTCCCTCCCTTCCTTCCTTCCTGCCTTACTTCTTTTGGACAAAGTCTCCCTAGTTAACCAACCAGGCTGGCCTGAAACTCATGATTCTCCCACCTCAGCTTTCCAGAGTGCTGGGATTACAGGCCACAGTGTGGTGCTAAAACCCCAGTGTTAAAGGAGCTTCTGTTGATACAGGAGGAATATAATTCTCAATCTGCTAGATGTCAGATGTGTTGAGTTCATGTCCCCTTGAAATTGAAGAATGAATTCCAAAGGACAAAGGAGGTTTAGAGAAGGAAAGGTTTATTAGGAAATAGGAACAGCTCCTGAGAAACAGGAAGGGTCCAGAGTGGGTTGACACCAAGGCCTTTTGTCAGGAATGATTTATACAGCAGAGTCACAATATAGGTACAACGTGGGTCAAACTATAATCTACCAATAAAATTACATGTATATCCACTTAACTAACATTGATCAAATAGGGAAGCAGTGTACGAACCAAGGGCATATATATATATATATATATATATATATATATATATATATATGGCTGACCTCATTAACTTTGGCTTATCTAAGACTTCTAAAACAGGAACATTTTGGGAAGGGTTGGGTCCAGGTGTTCAGGTCACCCACCCCGTGTCTGATGCATGTCTGAACTTAACAGACCTGGTGGTAACAATCATAGCATAGTCTCAAGTTTTCACTTATCCCTTCAGGAATTATGTAATGTAAGTTGGACCACTGTGACTTTATCTTGAGGCCTTGCCTTCTTCAGATGCGCTGTCAGCCACAATTCTAATATCTGCATTTTTACTGACCTCCTTCAGCCCAGTCCCACTCTGACTGTATATTAATTTCTATCTAACTTAGCTGTCTATACTACTTTTACAATGGAGGCCATGGGAATTTTGGCAACAAGTAGGGGGTACCTGAACTTCTGGTGAGGGCAAGGTCACAAAGGCCCCTGCATACTCCTAGTAATATGTCAGGGACTTAGAGGCTAGGCCTGCAGTTTCCCAATGCATAACTAAAAGCAGTCTGAAGATTGGCATCTTTGCCTGCATTAGATTCCAGGAAAAGCAGAGCCTCACAGACCATTCCATGGGAGGGTACCACAGTGGGAGCAGTTACCCCAGGAGCAATTCCTCTACAGCAGGAGCCTTCATTGGGAACCAAATTGCCTCCTTAGGCAATTAACCTTGCAGAACCAGTCCTGAGATACTGACCAACCAGGTGTCACTGACTGTCACCTTTGAGCGTCCTAGGAGGTTCCTAAACCCAACCTAGCCTTAGAATTAAGTTGTAGGTTTGCTGACTCTCATTGCAAAAAAGTAATTTTCAGCACACATCAGTAGGAGACAGAGATGTATTAGGCCAAAGAAAAATTTTTTAAGGTAAGAATTTAAATACTTAAAGAGCAAGCCCTCAAGAGAGAGGGTGCATTACAATTTGGAACTGGGAATATTTATGTGTTTTTGGTGGTGGAAATCTGTGGAATTTGTGAATCTGTAAGTCTTGGGGAAAAGAGCAGCCTACTCAAAGAAAGATAATGGAAGTATGGCTCACTCACAGAAAAATAACAGCCCCTTTCTTATAGGGGAAAAAATGTAACTCCCAACCTACTTACTAGATGTGAGATACACTGAATTCACATTCCCAAGTCAAAGAATGAATTTTTATTTTATTTTATTTTATTTTTTTTTGGTACCGGGGATCGAACACGGGTCCTTGCGCTTGCAAGGCAGGCAGCGCAAAGAATGAATTCTAAGGAACAAGAGAGATTGAGAGTAGGAAAATTTATTGGAGAATAGGACTAATTCCTGACAGTCAGAGGGATTCTGAATAGGTTGCCAACAAGTCCACTTCTCTGAGAAAGTTTTACAGACCAAAATCACGAGTTGGGTTATAACATAGGTCAAAACTACAATCAACCAATAAGATTACAAGCATAGCCACTTATTCTGCTTCTCATTTGAACATTTTCTTCCCATTTCCCAATATCTATTATATATTTTGGTCCTTATTTACACATTTGATTTCTCACACCAGAGAAACAATGTGATATTTAAACATATGTGTCTGATTTATTTCACTTAAGAGTATGGTCTCCAGGGCTGGGGATTTAGCTCAGTGGTACTGCTGCCTGCCTCGCAAGCACAAGGTCCCAAGTTAGATCCCCAGTACCCCAAAAAACACAAAAAACAAACAACTAGCTAAGAGTATGGGCTCTGTTGGTGAACACCCTATTGATTATGCCCAAAGCAGGCTGTAAGCCTTGCAGGCCGTAAAGACTCATTTTAAGAAGTGAGTCTGACTGAAGCTTACGTGACTCATAGAAGCACCTCATAAGCATCACAGTAGCGCACAGGTTAGCATGACCTTCTCGCTAACAGTCACAGCTGAGACCAGAGTAATGGCCTGTGAAGCTGTGAGGCTCAATATGAGACAATATAGTAGCTGATGTCACAGTAAGTTGCACGCAAATTCCATTCCCACGACTAAAACCTTAGCTAGAAGGACAAGGTTCTCATTACAACCCTATATTTTGTTTGTTCTGTTTCTAATTTGAGAATGCTTTGTCTTTTCCTTTACAAGCCTTACCTGCATTAGAACCCATAGCAACTGCATGAGTGTACGTCCTCACATGTAGTTCCCCTCTACTCCAATCTGATTAGCAATAAAAGTCAGTGGCTTGGACTGACCAGGGCCTTTTCTGGTTGCTCAGCACTGGCCATCCTGGCTCCCCACTTTTTTCTTTAATTCTGTTTTTCAGTCTTTCTTCAGCCCTTAGTCGTACACTGGGCAAGAGACTGGACCCTACTGCAGAGATTTCCAGTAGTCTCAGTGGGGAGGGCAGCAAGAAAAGAAAAGGAGAATAGAAGGGGAAAAATGGAAACAAAACTTTTGTAAATAAGGAGGGAAAGAGGCATTGAAGGGAGGGGATGGGAGGGGAAAAAAGAAGCAAGATATATCATGTATAGGTCCAAATTCCCTCTGATGGATGTTATCATTATGTATATCTAAAATGTACCAATAAAGTAAAAAAATAAAATAAAACAAGCATAGCCACTTAGCTGCTATTGATCCAGTAGTAGCAAGGGCATATGGATAACATCACTAACCTCGGTCGATAATCTATAGTCTTCATCTTGTCTTTAGTCTTAGACTTTTTTTTTTCCGGTACCAGAGATCGAACTCAGGACCTTGCACTTGTGAGAAAGGCATGGTGCCACTGAGCTAAACCCCTGGCTTTAGTCTTAGTTTTAGTAGGGTTAGTCTTTGTGAGTGAGAGAGAATGGTGCATCCCTAATGATACAATGGTTTGTGCATATGGGAAATCCCAAAAGGGTGGTGCCTATTGTTAATGGTGGCACATGAACCCACTTTTTTTATAGGCTTTTTTGTTGTGAAAAAGAAAAGTTTATTCCAATAAACAGAGACTAAAATCAGGGACTAAAATCAGGGATAGATTTTAGCAGGTCGCTGGGAAAAGCCAAGTTTATTACATCCATGTGTGGATGGGGGCTGACATAGGAAGAGAGAAATGGCAGCAGCTAGCTAGGACAGATTTCATCCTTGAGTGGCTGGGCTAACACCAGGAGAGAAGTATTAGCAGCTAATTGGGAAAGGAATTAGGCTGATATAGGTATTGAAGGGGCTAAGGAATCTGGGGTGAAATGTTTATAATTGAGTCTAAGGACAGTCTGCACAGGTGTCTAGAAAATCACTAGACTTTTTGGAGCTGAGGAGATTGTCTTCTGTTTACTGAGAAATAGCCTGTTGTTTGCTAAAAGCAGCCTGTGTGCTTTTGTCCTGTTTGGGTTTTTTTGTTGTTGTTTTGTTTTGTTTTGTTTTGTTTTGGTACTGGGGATCAAACTCGGGTCCTTGGGCTTGCAAGGCAGGCAGCAGAACCACTGAGCTAAATCCCTGGCCCTGTCTTGTTTGTTTGTGAAGGATTCACTTTGGTCAGCCATGACAACAATGTTCTCAAGCTTCCATTTATCCCTTCAGGAAGTATGTAAATGTGACCATTACAGCTTTAATCTTCTTCAGACATGCCTCTAGCTACAGTTTTCATGCATTCTCATCTTTTGGACTGACTCCCTTGAGGACCTAGCCCTGTCTGACTACCTATCATATTTCTACCTAATTTAGCTGTTGATAATACCTTCATAGAGGAAGCCCATTTAACAGGTGAAAAAGTGGACTATTCACAGGTAAAAGAGGATGTTTTGCCCAGGCTTGTGTTCTGAGAGAAAAGAAAAAAATGTTTAAATGGGTTTGTGTCCTAAAGCTGCAGTTTTCACCTGGGTATGGTGGCACACGCCTGTAATCCTAGCACTCAGGAGCCTGAGGCAGGAGGATTGCCATGAGTTTGAGTTGAGTTTGAAGTCAGCCTGGGATCCGTAGTGAGAGCCTGTCTCAAAAAGAAAGAAAGAAAGAAAGAAGAAAGAAAGAAGAA